TCTGTCATTTTTTGAATGTCATCTGTCGAAAGCTCATCTATTTCGTTGAACAGATTTTAACTCATAGCACTTTTTCAGCTGCCTTTAAGTTTCTCTTTAAAGTAAAGCCTCTCTATCGGTTCGACGAGTCGGGTAGGAATGTAGTCAGACGACATGCAAACAATGACAGAAAATACAATTTACCTGTGAATTAAAGCAACAGACAACTGTCACTCTGAAGTATTCTTTCACTGGACAAACTTTACATATCTAAATAAATTATTTATTTTTCGAAGAACTCCGGAATTTGTCCGGAGTTTGGAGCATTTGTATGGGAACCCTACGTCTATTAAACAAAAATACAATTAGAGAGATCTTAATGCATGACTTTTCAGAATGAGATCTTCTTGGGGGAGTGCGTTCTCGATATGAAATTTTTAATCATATCAAAGAAAGTTAGAAACCAGGAGACATATGTATATATGCACGAATGTTAAATTATACGTAAGATATTCGCAAAGTTGGTTTCCATTTCCAACGATTTGATTACTGGATATAACGTCAAGTCAAGTTTTCGTATACTTTAAAGCACATGCGGAAACTTTCTTATTCGAACTTTCGACGAATCTCTATTTGAGCCCAAAATTCAATAACCACCTAATTAATACACATACTTTGGATACGGGCATATGTTTCAAAAACATTCGATTTGCTGTACCGATCCTTCTTGCAACGCCTTAAGGCATACAACTAGTATCTCAGTTGCATAATCTAAGTTTCCTCATATTTAATGATACTAGGAGAAACTCTAGAAGCGTCATAAATGTCTAGCGTGGATAGTTTATATTACGCGGTTGTATATATATATATCATCTACTTTTTTAATACTGTCATTAAAAATACTTAAAAATATGTCTCAACTACAAATATATAAATTAAAGTGACTACTTCTTGACTGGATTAAAAAAAATAAATTATTTTATAGAATTATGATAAAACTTTAAGTTAAAATATTGAAATATCAAAATTAGAATCACAAATAAACGTAACTAAATAATAATTAAAAAATATTAAAAAATATAGAAAATAAAATATATAAATACCTACAAAAATAAAATCATATTAATGATGCTAAAATAGTATGAAACGTATATATTAATTTCTATAGACCTAAGATTTGTGCCTAAGGATCATGCGATCGAAAAAAAACGGCGTCAAAGACGGCTGAGGAATGAAAATCGATGACAATTTAGGCGAGGTCAATTGCTAATATTACTGTTAATTTTTGACAAATTTTATGTCGACTTTTAATAAATGACGTCTCCTTTAATAAATGCCCTCGCTAAAATTATCATCGATTGCCATTCCTCAGCCGTTTTTTTTTATCATACGGTATATGGTTATAGAGTTTTTAATAAAATAAAAAGTTTACATTATACATAAAATTTTTGAGATACAAAAAATCTAAAGAGGAATAAAATCATCATATCCCAAATTTAGTATAAATGAAACCAGAATTTGCTATAAATGGAAACTAATAATATGCCTGAGACTGCGTTCTCCTTTAAATCAAAAGCGCATTAGGTTATTAGAGGTAATTTCGCCTTTAACTAGAAAATTAGATGCGTTACACCTGAACAGGCAGATATAACAAAATTGTCTCTGATTATATACAACGTCAAACCATATGCTAGTTTCATTACCTTTGATGGTACGCTATTAGAGCCCCAACGTGCCTGCTGCTGAGACGTTTTCTCAAGTGTGTCACCTGTTTTGAAATTAATTCTTAACCTACCGGAATACGTAGGTTCTCGATAGTCAAGAGTAATGAGATATTTATATATACCTTGTAATATCACATTAATTAGATTTATACTCATCAACATATACTCAAATGCAAAAACACGCAACGGAAATTTTTTCCTCAAGTTTAAAGTGTTATTTTTTTACTTTTAGCCCTATTTTCATGAATTTTTTAGCAAACTGTATATAAACCTATCAACTTTAATTCATAACCTTTAGTATTTGGCTTATTATACAGGGTTAATTGAAGAGTTTTTTTTACCTTAAATCTAAAACATCCTGTGCAATAATTTTGTGAGTAACTATTCATAAAACATTATTTTTCGATCAGAACCATGTCTTCTGAGGTGTGGCATGTGTTCACATAAGTTTAAACATTTTAAACTCGACCAAAAATTTTTCCGTTGCGTTTTTTTTTGCATCTGAGTGTATACCAGGTCCGTCTCAAAAGTGGCTCACCCCCTATAACTTTTTTATTTTTTCAGATAATAAATCGAGATTTGGTATGTTAGTATATGATATAAATTAGGATTGATTGACGTATTCAATTGTTTTTGGTCACTTCTTGTGTCACCAGAAATGACTACAACATTTGATATTTAAATGATACCCTCGGTATTTTTTTACTTTATTCGATAGAATATGACACTCTGAAGAGAATGACATATCATATGTCAACTTTTGACATTTTCGCATATGGTTTAATTGACATTGTAACATGCGGTTCATAACGACAATTTGACTCGAAATAGCAAGTATGTGCTACCAAATTATTCGTAAAAAAAATCTTTTTCTAAATATGCTAATGACCCACCCTTGTTTCATTTGAAAAAATTGAGATATTAAAAATACGATTTGGGCATCTTTTAACTGGCCGGGACAAGACACGAAAAACATTAGAGGGTCAAATCTATTTTTCCAAGGCTCATTGATTAAAAATTAGTGTTTTTAACACAACCATGGCACTCTAGATTGAAATTTGAAATACGATTTGTTTTTAAGAGAAAATGTCAAAAGTTGACATATGATATGTCATTCTATTCAGATATTGCATTTTCTATCGATTAAAGTAAAAATATACCGAGGGTGCCATTTAAAAATCAAAAGTTGTAGTCATTTCCGGTGAAACAGGAAGTGCCCAAAAACAATTGAATACGTCAATCAATCCTAATTTATGTCATATGCTAGTATACCAAATTTCGTTTTTTTTATCGGACAAAATAAAAATGTTATAGGGGAGAGCCCACTTTTGAAAAGCACCCGGTATTCTATTATCCAAAGATCTTTTAAAACAATAAATATTTTATTCTGGTTTTGTTAAAATATATTAAAAAAATATGTAATATTTATCTGCAACATTGTATTCTCTTCAAGAATATATTAAACTATCCCGAACATATATAACTTACATAAAAGAGTCGGAAAACTTTTCAAGAAGTCGTTGAACACCATCCTAAAATAGTCTTACATTTTTAGGCGAACTAATGCAAAAGTTATTCTGTTTTACTACTCAGTTTTATGAATATAAGGGAGCTGGGATGAGCAAAATACAAATACCTAACTTTTTTCGCCGTTATTTTTTTCTCGTTCTGTTTTCACAAAATGGAGTATTCTTTTCAATTAGTTAACGGCAAAGACTTAAAAGGGTTGCCGAACGTGCTTTCCCACGTTACGTTTTAGTTAGCGGGTTTCTTAACCGCAATTCTCGCAAAAACACCTACCAAATCGTTTTGAAATTCCGCAATGCGAAGCCTGACTTTGTATTTAGTACAAGCTTAGCGAAATCCCTTAAGGAACTTGACATAAGGGCCTTTAATTTGTAACAGTGTAATTTTTTTAATTTCATTTACTTTTTGTTTCCCTGACCCTATTCTTTGTACAACGGTTTTAATAAAAGCGCACTGTCCTTAAAAAGCATCCCTTGATCAAAAATAATCGTAACTAATCAGGATATGATTTACATTTCTTTGCTTCATTTTAATTCAATTTAATGTGTAATATTAATTTATATATTTATGTTAGTATTCATAATTATACCTTGTATTAATGACATAATGAAAATTTTGGGCGTATGTTTAGTACAGGAATGGGTGATTTTCAATTAATGCCTGTGCCTTTGAATACGTGCATATATTTAGGTTTATCTCCGGAGTTTGAATTATAATAGAAAATTCTAAACTAATCCTGAACCTGAATACAGGCCCAGTGGATTTAACGACTCAAAGCGTATTCCGAATGCAAAATTTAATATATTACTTTATGGTTACAGTCAAAAATTATGGAATTTCAATCTGATGACAAAAAATAATACAATTTTTGGTGTATAATCTCAGACAAATATTAAAAAAAAGACAAACTTTATCGTCCATCTAATGCTGCAAATTACAGGATGTTTTAACATTAAAAATCTAAAAAATCCGCCAACTTAACTAACTAACAATTAGTTAGTGTCTTTAAATATTTTACGCTAATGCCATTTTTCCATGTGCAAACGAGCTAGCTTATGACAAAGAAATTCTCTAGAGTACCGTGGGAATAAAGTGTGCAATAAAAGTTGACACTAGAGAATTTTATTTCGGGCACTCAAAGGGCACTCGAAGAAATTTCTCAGGACTTACGACCGAGAAAAATGAAAGATTTTTCTTGATATAAGTAAGAACAATATTTGGATTGTCACGAGGTTTTTAACAAGACACTGTTTCCTTAATCAACACCTCAATAAATTTAAGCTAAGAAACAACGGCCAATGCAGATGTTGGGAAAATGGTGAAACATCACAACATTTCATCACTGAGTGCGCCGAGGTTTAACCATTTTTGCCATAAAATTGGTTAAAATCGTCTTAGACACTAGCTTTTGTCAAAGCCCTGAGACTGTATGATGAGTTATAACTCGTCGACCACGTCGAACATACATTCTTTCATTGCGCAAGATGAAGCTCAGAAAGGAGAACACAATAGATCTATAAGGTCGCAGTGATTTACTTCCCCCCTTCCACCCAATCTGCTAGTCTATATCTGAGTCTTTTTTGTAATAAATAAAATTAATGAAAGAATAATAAAATTGATATGAGTTATATTTTTCTCAAAAAGATGCATTATTACACGTGCACACCACTGACCAATAATAATTACCGAAAAGTCTGGAAATTTGGGTTCTTAAAATTTTAATTTTATTGTCATGATCATTTCAGTAATATGATTAAGTTTAATACGTACCTTCTCTGTTAAATTGAAACTGGTTAAGGTTGATTCCTAGACAACAGCCGCAAATAAACCCTTGACATGTGCACCCGTTACTTCTGTAGGCAAGGCGCCTTGTCAAGGCGTTGCCGCCCCATTTCTGTGCGGTGCTTTTGACGTGCGCCACTGGCTGCGTTTCGTCGCCGCTGCCGTCATTCGTCATCCTATTTATCAGCACGTTCTCGATAGATGACAATCGAAAAGATTTTCCAGACTGGGGCTCATAATAGATATTAGGCACAGGAGATGTATCGGCATCTGCAACTCACAAGATGACTCGGCGTTAAATTTCAACCAAATCCAAATTATGTAGGCGGTTTATCGATAAAACCGGCTTAGATATTTACGTAAATACCGTAATTTGTAATTTTTTAATTGATTTACTATTTATTAACTTATTATTTATTATTATTTAAAAATCTTACTAAGAAATTAAAGCTTTTCATGACTATATGAAAATTTACGATTTTGGACAAGTAACTGATTTTGATCTTCAATATCTACATAAAATTTGCTATAAATGCTGAAATTTTCATAATTTTATGACTATGTTTACTATCTTTCTAAGACTTTTGAACATGTGTAAAAAAATCGACCTTTTTCCATTTTTGCCATTCTTTTTCCATTTTCGTCATGTCACCGATTTCATGAAAACTGCTGTTATTTACTAACTAAAAGGTGTAGAATAAGAAAATATACAGCATTTTAGTCCTACGACAACAGTAATAAATATAGAGGACGTTTTAATTTTAATCAAAAATAGTTTAAAAACAAGGATCCAAAAAATTAATTTTCTCACAAAGCCAAGGTCCAAGGTTTCTGAATCTACATAAAATTTTCTACAAATACTGAAATTTTCATAATGTTATTGCTATGTTTACTATGTAGGAAAAGGCCGTTGAATATCTGAAAAAATAGCAAAAAATGGGCATATTTTCGACTGTTTCTTCATGTTACAGATTTTGCTAAAACTGCTGTTATTTACTATTTAAAATGTGTAGAATAAGAAAATATAGGTCATTGTAGTCCTATGAAAACAGTAACCGATACAGAGGACGTTTTATCCTTAAACCACACCAAAAATAGCTGAAAAACAAGAGTTCAAAAAATTAATTTTCTCACAGAGCCAAGATACCTAACCCTTCAAAAGTGTATATTCTATAATCTACATTATCCAATCTCTAATTATCAAATTTCTAATCCAATCTAGGGCCTTTGAAAATATGTAAGCCATATAACCAAAATTGTCATTTTTACTACTACTGTTATTTACAAATTATAATACGTAGAATATATTACATATACAAATATGGGCCATTGTAGTCTTACATGTACGGTTTTAGATGTAGGAATATTTTTAACTATCATCAAAAAGCATTTCAAAACAAGTGTTCAAAAGATCATGTTTCTTGCTTGATTTGTATAAAATCCGAAAATTTAAAAGAAACTTATAAAAAGTAATTTATCACAAGAACGTTTGGAAAAATATATTACAAGATTAGGTTTTTTCGAAAGTCTCAAAATATTGCTTTGACACTTTGGTAAAAAGACGAAATCTTTAGAAGAAAAGACACTTTCTAGATTTAGGAACGTTTCAGAGAAAAAAGGGACAGTAACATAATCCTAATTGAAAAATTCTTGTGTTTAAATATATTCGAAGCTTTTACTGGACGGCTTAAAATTGCCTACGGTCGGTTACTTTGGTCCTTTTTCTCTAAAATGCTTGTAACAAAATTAGTCGAGGAATTCAAGCCATTAAGTATAATTCGCTAAGTAAGGTATAATGAATAAATGTATGCTCAGTGTGAAGTAATTTTGTACAAGGAAGACTAATTCGAAATATTTTGTTTAATTCTTTTGGCCCTATTGACTTTAGGTACACAGTTTATTAAATTTACGATTAACTATCCTTTATATGACACTCTTTTTCAAAGAAAATGTAGGAACTGGGGTAAGAACTATCGAAAACAGGAAATATTCATCTTATCTGATAGTCAAGCAGCCTTAAGAGCGATTAACTCAGTAACCATCAATTCGAAGTTGGCCAAAGAGTGCCTAGAGAAGCTGAACAAATTAGGCAAAGAAAATAAGTCCACCTACTCTAAGTGCACCGAGACGACAACCATTCGTACCATATAAACTTTGGTACGACTGATATCGGAGATGGAGAACTAACCTCTGTAAAACAGTCTTAGATACTGACTTTTGTCAAAGCCCTGAGAATGCATGATGAGTTATAACTCGAAAGTGGGACACAATCTTCATTCCTCCCATAAAATCTACAAAAATGCGTGGAATAAATTTTAAACTATAAAATAACGGGTTCGAATAATAATTAAAATAAATTAAGTGGACAAGAATATGTCAAGAGCCACTCCGAATATAATTTTATGGAATGGCTTAAATATGGGTTCGCCCTCGTAGGTCAAAGTAATTCATTTAATTTGTGTAGCACCCTTGCTCTTCTGAATATGCAGTTTCGGATAACAGCAAAATTGTTATCCGCTCTGCCCCTCGATTAGCGAAATGTTTCACGAACAGATGCCATTAAATTACCTCATTTCACATGCATTCCCTATGAAAAGTTTTTATGAACGACGCGACGCGACGCAGCCCTCAGGCCTTTCATAAAACTTAATTTTTATGCACTATCCGATTCGGGATTTTAACTGCTAACTGCCACGTGACCAGATGCAGTTTTGCCAGGATTTGCCATTTAAAAAACAACTTTTTTCGTACAACAACAATCGATTTTCCAAATATTAGTTTCATCGTGTTTCATTTTAAAAAGGCCGATTTTGATAAAACTACTGTTTTTTACTAATTAGCAGGCATAGTATAGGCAAATATAGGACATTGTGTATTTACAATTACGGTTTTAGATGTAGGCACAGTTTTATTTATCATCGAAATTCTTTTCAAATCAAAGGTGTAAAAGTTCAAATTTTTCACCGAATCGAAACATTTAAGTCTATTAAGACTTAGGTACTATATCTTCGAAATCTACATAAAATTTCCTAGAAATGCTGACATTTTCATGATTTTATGACTAAGTTTACCATGTTTCTAAGGCCTTAGAATATGTGTAAAAAATAAATAAAAATGAGCATATTTTCTACTTTTTTCCATACATAGACATGAAAATAGTCGATTTTCGTCATTTTACCGATTTTGTTAAAACTGCTGTCATTTTCTAACGAGAAAGTGTAGAATAAGAAAATATAGGCCATTGTAGTCTTACAAGAGCAGTAATATTCTCAATCTATATAAAATTTTCTACAAATTCTAAAATTATTCTTAAAATAATATGACAATTCCTTATGTTCTCTTAGAGCTCTGAATACAAGCAAAAATGTTCAAAAATGAGCTTTTTTTATTTTAATATTGTACACAAAAATAACTGAAAAGTTTGGTCAATGGATTCCAAACCCAGCGGAATTTTACAAAAAATATATATTATTCTTATTTCATACAGGCTTTTTTCTTTCAATAACGAAATATTTAGCATTTCTAGTTCTGAACCAACCACAAAGGTCTACATTAACTCCAGTGTTTTTGTTTGTTGTTTTATTGTGTTGGGAATCCAAAGAAACGGTCAGGAGTAGACCTTTGCCAAAAATATGCAAAATAAATAATTGAGATTCTCCACATTGCTGTCTCTAATTAATTTACATTTTAATAATCCCAAACTAAAAAGGATATTGCCTAAAATAATGTTTAATTTTGTATTCTGTCTGGAAAACTTTTCAAATCGTCTCGGCTATTGTATAAATTAATTTATTTAAAATGATCAAACATGTGCATCAAATTGCTGGTGTTTATAGTTATAAAGATTTTTATAAAAAGAAGAAAGAGCAAGCTACAACTTTTTACACAGATATGTATTAAATCAAACTTTTTTTCCTTTAATCCGTCCAATTCTCTTCTGCTAAGTTTTCGGGAAACTTCAAATAATTAAAATTAATCGACAAACGCCAGATTATTAAATCATTAAAAGTTTGAATAATTAGAAGTTATATTTAGTACAAAGCTTCTATTCTGAATAAAAGTTTGCAAAAGAATTTGAGGATGTACTCGAGCTTATGCTAATTACAATTTATTAATAACGAAATAAATTTTTTATGAAGCTCGTTAAATAATTTGAATGTTTTATTTAAAACTTTTCTTTATTATTTTGACATTGTGAGCCAAATATTCTGTCCTGAAAAATGAGAAAATTTGTATTTTTGCGAGGGTGTAATTTTAGTGTATTTTGATTTGAATTATATGCGGGTGTTCTTCATCAGTTCACATTTTTTAAGTTCTACTAATAAAAAAATGGTTACACCACCATTTATTCTAAACGATAACAGAAACTTTAACATTTTGTGATTGTCTTATAATATTTAACACAGCATGTGTTATTTTCAGACTTTTTATCTGGTTAAATATGAGTCACTCTTGTCTACATACTGACTTTTTTAGTGTTACTTTCAATCTAGTTATACTTTTGCAATAGTCTCTTTACCCCCAAATGCCTTTTATAGAGGAAATATTTTTGTATTTAAATGGGTGTGGTTAAGAAAAAAACTAAAAGTTTTGAATATGTCTCATTTTTACACCACTTGACACCCTACTATCAAAAATATATAGGAAAAATAAATAATACCTAATACCTGGAAATTTTTGACTTTAAAGTGGAATGGTTTATTAGTATTAAAATGTCCCAAGAATGTATTTAATTAAGATCTTAGAAATTGTATTAGGCTAGTTTGGAAGACAACGTGTTGCCAAGCCGAATAAACAACTTTGAATTCCTCTTCTGATTTAGGTTACCTTGATTGAGGTAATTAAATAGACATAAAACGAAACCATTGTCCCATCGTATCAAAGCGTTATTAAGTCGGTTTCTAATCTAAATTTATACATAAATATGTTGAGAAATTGGAACAGATAAACGCTAATTCAGGTTTTATTTATTTATTTAGTGTTCTATTTTTGTTTGTTATATTTACAATAACATTTTGTAATCCTTATTAATCTTTTTTTATGTTAGAATTACTATTATTACTACAGGGAGCAATATTAATGTTATATGACATTAAAATTTATATTATAATTTAATTTGAAGAGCATTGCACTAGTATTTTTATGTGTATTTTTTTTTAATTCAAGATCCCAAGATAAAATCCTGACAAAAATTAGTTAATGTATTTCATATTTTTAAACAGCCACAATGCTTTAGTCCATAATTTTTATATTAGGGCTTTATTGTAATTTTGCAGAAATATTAAATATTTACAAAAAACGTCAACAGAAGTTGTAAAAAAGTCAAATATTTATATTTTTTAAAGCAATCCTTTTTTATAATATTTTTGTACATATAAATATATCTATAATAAGAAAATAAGCTGTAAAATTAAATAACTGCTTACAGCGATTAAATTTATCCTGATCATGACCAAAATAATCTGCTTAGTAAAAATATTCACAATTCAAAATTTAGTAATTTATTTTAATTTAAAATATATACTATGTACACACAACCGTAATAAAGAAAATGGGATAATTTTGAATTATATTTATATAAGTGAATTAGTGGTAAAGTGGTAAATGATAATTATTTATTTAAATGTGAAGAATTATTATTTTCAAAGTATTGAAAATTTTCATAGATATATAAACTCACCTGCTTCATAGTAGCAGCGAACACATCCCAAAAAATGCACCACAAAAACAAGAAACCAATATTCCATTTTGATCAAATCATAAAAATGCAAGCGACTTGGCACAGCACGAAATTTCACCGATCTGATTTAAAAAAAAAATGATCTAAATTCAAAGAAGCGGTATTTAGGGTAAAGAACGCATTATATCGCAGTCTGGCTGGTTATTATATTAACAGTGCACGCTTTGGCAAGCCATTATAACGTGTTCACCATATATATTCCTCGATTTGCGTTCAAACGCAACTCATTAAGAACGGTGTTAAATGTGTCGTTAAATGCTAATTTCGTTTATAAAGATGTTTGCAGTTATTGTTTTCTCTTTTTTTTTCTCGGGGCAATTTTTTTAATTCGTTTCAAACGCGAGCACTTTTACTTTGCTGCCCAATTCATACAGGGGGTTCTCAAAAAGAAATACCTATCATTTGATTAACAGAACAGATAAAACAGTTCTTTATTGTTAAACAACCGAAAAACTAGATAGATATTTCTAATAAAATAAAATATATAAATAAATTAAATATTAGTGTTAACAATTAAAAATTATCACTGTTTTAAAATATAGACACAAAATATACAGCTCTCAAATTACAAGTATGTAACGTAAACGAATGTATTGTACCGTTTAAAAAATTTATAGAAATGTTGAAACGTACAAAAACATTGTTAGAAACCTAAAAACCTTTGAATTTTCCTGACTTGTTTTATATAATTTATAATACAATTTTTATAAACTAATTAAAAATTAACATTAGCTATTTTAGCAATTAAGAACCAATACAAATACTTCATCTTTTACCACTTTATAACAAGGTAAATTGTAAAAAAGTTCAGAAATCACCTCGTTTTTAGATGCCGTTCTGTCATTTTTATAGTTTTAAATAATAACAAGAGAAACAAAATATTAGCAATTCAATTATCTGTATTTTAAAGTATGAGGATACACAAAATAATCTATTCATTTTGTTTTCTTTTTTGTTTTTTGGCATAATGGAGCTAAGATTTTATTTTATTATAAAAATTTACATGTATAATCTGAAGGGATGGATAGTAATAAATATTTCCTAAACAGCTAAGATTATCGGTTTGAGCAAAGAGACAATGGATTGAGGTGGCCTAAGTCTTTGTATAATATAGGTTTCATCCCTACACAACCCTTTTTGGGGGTAATTCCGGACTTTATGAATATCTTAAGAGAGCTTGGGGCTATCGGTTTAATCAAATGCATCATAAATTATTACATAAAATTATGAATTTATTAGTGAAAGTTTTTAAGGTTAAAATTAATTTTTTAATCGAGAGAAATAACTTTTTTTTAACCATAAAAAGTTTCACTAATAAATTCATAATTTTAGGGGATATTTGGGGATGTTTTAATATTTTTAAATAAATTTTTAATAGTAAGGGAAGAATATTCTTGCCCTGTATATATTTCAAAATGAGAGGGTGGCAAGTTTGAAATTATTTGACCTTGGCAGTAACCGAGGAAGTATATATCGCACTCTGAATATCAAATACGATCTCCCCGAAGTTTTTTTTCTTCCTTTATCCAATTCTTTACATTCGGTAAATAAGTTGTGACTGTTTCATATTGCATACGTATATAGTATATACTCATATATACGCATGATGTTGAAATTCTGATTAAGATATTGTGTTGACCCCCTCCCCCCTTTACATACAATTTTAATAAAACGTATTTCAAAATAAGAACTCTAATATTGTATAATAATTTTATAGACATTTTATTACTTATGCATATATGTGTGTATAATATTACAAAATTTGTGGCATAAAACTATTTGTTATTTTGTATCCATATAATGCTAAATTTAAACCAATCTTCAATGAAACAAATTATTTCCAGAACAAATATATAGGGATTATATTAAAAATTTATTATTCCGCACACATAACACTGGCCAGTAGAAAATATTGATTTGTTTTACAATAATTAAAAGGGTTTGGTTACAGAGATTTGATTTTATTTTATGTATTTTTGTCCCTTCAATAATATTTGAATGGTTTGGTTAGGGTTTCAATAAATAATAACAATTTATTTTTGTAAATAACCTCTTAATTTTAGGATTTATTTTTAGAGAAAATGTACAGAGTGAAATACATTTTGTTTTATGCCCCGTCAACACGTAACGGTTTACCTGTCAGTCTTACCTGTTAAGTAAATTTACAAAAACATAATATACGGATATATTACAGTAACTTTAGTAAGTGATTTTTAAAATTGTAATACGTCGTGTGTAGAGGGGGATTGAGAAATAAGAAATAGCCATCTTATCCGATAGTCAAGAAGCATTAAAAGCGATTAAGTCAGTAACCATCAATCCGGAGTTGGTCAAAGAATGCCTACAGAATCTCAACAAACTAGGCAAAGATAATAAAGTCCCCTCACTCTGGGTGCTAGACCATCAAGGGATAGAAGGCAATGAAAAAGCAAACGATTTAGCTAGAAAAGGAACCACTCCACTAACTGGACCAGAATCTTTCTGCTTCCCAAGTAGAAACTTACTTAAAGCGGAACTCAAGAACCTGGATGACCTCATCCGTAAGCTGGAATGGGAATCCTCCAACGGTCTAAGACTCGAAGAAATTTATCAGTACCTACGACTGAGACAAATCAAATATATTTCTTGAGTTATGTAAGAACAATCCAAAATAAAAACACTTAATCATCTGCTGATGATTCTAACATGGTTAGCGATACGCGCGTCCAGTGTAAAAGTAAAAGTGTTTGGTGTATTGTGGTGATTGAGTGTTTTTATTTTGCTGTGTAACACCAAAAAAAAACAACCCCTAACTGTAATCTGAGAACAATCTCCGAATGTTCACGGGATTTTTAACAGGACTGTCTTCTCAATGAACACCTCACTAGATTGAAGCTGAGAATCAACGGCAAATTCAGTTTCTGTGGGGAAATGGAGAAGCACCAGAACATCTCCTCACAGAGAGTGTCGAAACGACAACCATTCGTGCCATAAACTTTGGTACTACTGATATCAGAGATGGAGAACTAACCTCTGCAAATCGGTCTCAGATACTGGCTTAATTTTCTGTAATAGTCGCTGTAAAGTCGCTGTGATTAACCCCCATACCATTCTACATACGAACATGAGTTTTTAAAGGGGTTATGCTTTACCTGACACGCAAAACTGACAGGTAAAACGTTATGTGTAGACGGGGCTTTACTATTTAGGGTGTGCCCTGAAAAGTGATGAAATTTAATGCCAATAAATCAATTAAAAAGTAATATTTTTTATTAATTGGAATATCACAAGCCGAACAGGGCGATATTTCATCGCAGAATTATATAAATTAAAAGTAGAGTTGAAATATTTTGATTAAAATAGCACTGATTTACAGCAACGAACCGAAATATCAATTCTATTAAGTGTTTTATGTTCCGCCTTGTCGGTTAATAAATCTACTATCAAAAAAAAAATATCTGATATCTGACAGTTACACGTTTTGACTGAATTACATTTTCTTTTTTTTTGGAAAAAGTTAATTTTTGCTTAAACCATAAACCATACTTTAAAAAGCGGAAATTATATTATTAAAAATTAACTAATTTTACATTAAACATATTCACTTTTTAACATTACTTTAAATATTTTCCTTTTTACGTTCTCATATCATAAAAAAGCTAAAATAAGCTGCTGGGTATCGACTTTAGCTACAATATTCAAAACATTTCAAATACTTGTACAAAGGACATGCCTTTCAATATAAGAAAATATTTACATTCTACTGTTTTAATATTTGACCAGAACGGTTCTTAAAAAAGCCTGCAAACTCATTGAGTGTCAGGAAATATTGTCTTAGCGCCTACATATGTTTTTTTTACAAAAAAACATCGTTTTATAACAAGTTTTTTTTTTATAGAAAGTGATATCGTAGAGTATAGTTTTGGTTTAGCGTGAAATCGATATATTTACTGTAAATTTTTACGATACTCAACTCTTCTCTAGGTTTATATATCATACCTCAGGCAAAGACTGGAATATAGGGAGTAACTCAATGCTGTAACTCAATTCCATGGGGATCTACACTTCTCACCCTACCCTAACTAGAGAAACCACTAGAAATTTGCTTGACATTTGATATCCTGCCGTTGTTCTTTCTTTATAAGTTCTTGTTAGGGTGTGTTTTCTATAAAGTGTATCAGAAAATACAAATATAAATAAAAACGTGTAAGGATTATTTAAAAAAAATTATATATTAGAAAATAAGGAAAGTATTTATTAAGCATATGAAAAGTAAAAATAAGCACCTTACATTTTCTTAAAAAAATATTTTCTTCCAGACTTACTAAAAAACTTCTTTTAAAAGATTTCTTTTTCAGATAACAGGAAGTAAACGCGAACAGGACCATTATCTGCGTTTTTAATATACTAAATCTTGGTAAAAAATGAGTAAAGGTTTCAAAAAGATATAAAGCATAGTTAGAAAAATGAGAAGAATCGAGAAAACCTATATAAAATGTTAAAAATCACAGCTATTTTGGCTGTTTTGGTGTTTTTTTTCAGTATTAATTTGAATATAATATTAATATTAAATTTATTAAAATAGTAGAATGTCAAGAAAAGTTAATTTTGAAAATGTTTACAGCAAAAGTACGTTTGCAATTAATGTGTGAAATGCTACGAGTCACGCGTTCTTCATTAGTGTAATCAAGCGTGTGCTATGTGTAAAATGTAGAAACCCAATTAAGATATCAGAGTGGCAGAGTCAATAAGCCTCAGACCTGTAGCAACATTTACAATTTCAGTTAGGAATTCAGTTCTCCCGTATTTTAATCCAAGAGAAACTCAATGAACTAGCTGAAAATCGTAAGATTTACACCTTCTATCTTCTTTACTTTACTGTTTAATATTTTACATTCACCTGACAATTTTTCTTCACATTCTTGTTAATTTGCGTAAAGGAATTTTTTATTACATTATTGTCAGAAAAAACTGTACTTATTGGATTTTCTAACCAAAAATCAAAATATCGAGAATTTTGTTTTGTTTGCTGTTGAATACTCCAGACTTAAGAAGCTTTGTGGGCCAAGGCTCAAGCACCCAATTATTAATTAAACGGGAATAGCTATCGCTAAATTAAATCGCAGATACCGGTGGAGAATAGATTTTGCCAGGCAAAACTGAATAATTGCCTGAGAAGTTGTCATGACGTCATTAATGTTTCATTGTCATACAGAATTTACTTTTTTTTAACTAATTTATATATTTCATACTGTTGTTAGAAGAAGATTCTAGATTGTAGTTTGTATGGGAGTGTGAAAGTTAATCACCGAATTATAGATCTATGGTTTCCCCCTTTGTTGAGGGCTGAGATAGTTTTACAGAGCTTAGCTCTCAATCATGACATATAGAGTCATGCTCTGAAACTTTTTCTTCGAGTCATGCATGCTCGTATATACTCGAAATGTGAAGAAAAAAGCGGAGAGACACAGTTCCGCTTCATTAAGGGGCTGAGTACCAGAGAGGCTTTGTTTTCAATCAAGCTACTAATCCAGAAATGTTATGATCAACGCCAAGATGTCTTTGTGTGCTTCATAGATTATCAGAAGGCTTTCGACAACGTTAAACATGATATTCTCCTAAACAGACTGCTCGAGATAGGAATAGACCCCAAAGACATTAGAATCATACAGGAACTATATTGGAACCAAACTGCAGAGATAAGAGTTAACAAAAATGTATCCACAGACACCTTCAATGTCTGTCAAGGAGTCCGCCAGGGCTGTATACTGTCACCAATACTTTTTAATATATACGTCGAAAAAATATTTCAAATGGCCCTGGAAGGAGAAAGGGAGGAATTAAGATTAACGGAGTTCCAATTAACAATATAAGATATGCAGATGATACGGCAATACTAGCACGAACTTTAGAGGATCTCCAGCAAATAATAAATAGGATAGGGGACATGGGAAATCGTTTCGGTCTTAAAATCAACGCTGCCAAGACCAAACTTATGGTAATAGGACGCCAGCCTACAATCAACACCGCATTGACCGTGGATGGAAATATTATAGAGCGAGTTCCACGATTTAAATATCTGGGTGCCATGATCAATGAACGATGGGACTGCGATGAGGAAGTTAAACTTAGAACGAATTATGCAAAGTCGACATTTTTTAAACTTAAAAACTTCCTATTAGCACGCAGTCTCCCGCTAACACTTAGACTACGGGTAGTGAAATGCTACATATGGCCCATCTTACTATACGGCGCAGAAACCTGGTCACTCAAGGCTAGAACCCTGAACCGCATCGAGGCTTTCGAAATGTGGACTCTCCGGAGACTCTTACGTGTGTCATGGACCGCACATGCAACCAACGAAGAAGTTTTAAGAACTGCAGGCTATGAACGAGAAATGATTAATATAGTTAAAGAAAGGAAAGTCTCATACCTCGGCCATATCCTTAGAGGAGACAAATATTACATTCCTAAGCTGATTCTACAAGGAAAAATAGAGGGACGGTGAGGCCCAGGAAGAAAACAACATTCCTGGCTAAGAAACATACGGGATTGGTGTAACATCACTGACGCAGCCACCATATTTCGAAGAGCCGAAAACGGCACTCTACACATTGTATGAAGAGTACAGACAATCGCCAACGTGCGGCTAAGCACAAGGCACAGGAAGAAGAAGAAGCTCCCGAATGGTTGTCGTCTTTGCGCACTTAGTGATGAGGTGTTCTTGTGGTTCCCCATTTTCCCCACAGAATCTGCATTCCCATGGTTTCTTAGCTCCAATCTACTGAGCTGTTGATTGAAGAGGCATTGTTCTCTTAAAAAACCCGTGATAATCAGAAGATTGTTCTTACTGAAATCAAGGAAAATCTTTGATAAATCTTTTAAATTTTTGAGAAATTTCTTCGAGTGTCTTGGATGGAATCCTCCAGGTTCTTGAGTTTTGCTTTAAGTTGGTTTTCACTTGGGAAGTATAACCATTCTGGTGCAGTTAGTGGAGTGTTTGCTTCTTGTCTAGCTAGATTGTTTGCTTTTTCATTATTTCTATCTGTTTATAAAATTGTTTTATACTTTTACATCATCTTAATTGTAATAATGTATTTAATAAATAACATTAGATGTAATTAAGCTTGGGTATTTTGCTAAATTGCTATTCAATTCGGACGGTTAAAAGGTCTGTTAGCTCTAATGTTCAAAGTAAATACATAAGTTTGTTAAGTATAATTGATTGTAGCAAACAAATAGATATTCCGCACTTAAGAGGAACCGCACTATCAATGTTTACATTCGTTATATCTTCTCAGACCCTAACGTATTTGGTAAATCGATATTAACGTTCTAATTTTCTACGTCAAAAATAATATCACCATTCTATCTTTTCTAGGTGAAGCCTCACATTTATTTTTAAAATTACTTGATTATTTTTTTACTTTAAGATATGTTTACCAGAATTCAAATAAAAAAAATATCCAATAAAAATTGAAGACCTGTTTAGTAAAATTAAAGTAAAAACGATAATTTTCATGACTATATGTAGGGAGAGAAGTAAAAAATGTAAATCAATTGCTATTGTTTGATTTTTATGCCCCTTAATTAGTTAATGAGAGGAATTTTACTAAAATCTGTGACTTCGCTATGTACTTCGCTTTTACAAGGTTTAAGAGTTTTCGAAAAATATAGGAAGTATATTATAGTGTTATATTATGAAAATTTCAATATTTGTAAAAAAATTAAAAATTACAAAAATTACTTTTAGGATATATAAAGCTTGAAAAGTTTGTGTACTTTGGTTTTACTTAAAATCTCAATAGGGTTTTCAAAATTGATTTTGAACAATTTATGATAAAATCAAAAGTTAGTTTATATCTAGCACCCTATTTGTAAGGCCAAAATGGATGATGTTTCATTATTCCATGTCATTAATTAGTTAATAATATTGTAGTTTTTTTACAATCTGTGACTTAATAATAATCGTTCATTTCCTTGACTATAAAAAAAGAGGAAACATTTGTGAGACTTTGTTATCCCTTTTTTTAATATTGGGCTTTTTTCAGTAAAAAAGCCCGTGCATAGATTAAAGATATAAATTCATCAAGAACGATAAATCTAGATTTCCTGGATACAAAATATTATTAACATCTTTTAGAAGTTTTTTTTCGAGATTACAGCTAAACAGGCCATTATCTGCTTTTTAAAGTATTAAATCTTGATAAAAAAGTAAAAGAATAAAGGGAGTAAGGTAGGAACATAAAATTAAAAACACGAACTGAGTGCTTCGGTTTAATAATAATACAGTAAATATAATAAATATTAAGAGAACAAATATAAATAGGAAGTCAGTCTATTGGGTTCTAACGTAATTTGTTATAAATTAAAAAGTTTAGAAATTAATTTGTAGTATAATGTTATAATGTTTTGTTTAATTAAAATTAATTTTGAAGAAAAACTAAGAGTTTGTTTCAATAATTACTTATCTAAATTTTATCAAGGAAGAAAAAAAATTGAAGAATATTTCTGACTCATCATAATGTGACTTGAGAGAATGCGTTAAAATTCTAAAAATAAATCAAATACCTATTCCTATTAGCATTACACACAAATATTATCTAAAATATTGATATGTTTGGTCAATTAAAAGCCAATATTGCTGTTGTTAGCTATTATGAAAACACATTCGACCCATTGAATGAAAATACGTTATGACAAGGCCAGTTGGTTTAGGCAAATATAATTTAACAGTCTAATATACTCATTGCGTATGTGTTCGTCAGCCCTTGTTAAAACATTGCTAAATAGTATTACATGTTTTAAATCTGCTCTATATCTTTGTATAATAATATTTGAAATTTAGTAAGTAATTTTGGAGCTCTTCAGAAGCTTTAAGCGTTATTCTTTTCCTAAATTATTTAATGTCAAAATGGTTGTTTTTGACTTAAAGGCAAATTGATAACAATTGTGTAAAAATAAACAGAGGTTGTTAAAACATTGCTAAATAGTGTTACACATTTAAAATTTGTTCTCTATCTTTGTATAAATTTATCAAAAAAATTGGAGCCTTTAGAAAAAAAAACTTTAAGCGTTATCTTTATGCATTTTAAATTAGTTAGGTTAAAAAGATTTGTAACATATAAATGTGTCATGTTTGATTTAATGACAAATTGGTGTCCGTTGTCTAAGGAGAAACAAAGGTCGAGGAATATAAATTAGGCAGGTTGTAAATTGAAGCTAACGTGATATGAAACTTTGGGTGTATAATTATATTTAGAGCATCGGCTACCTGAAAGAAGCTGCTATAATAAACCTTTCACCTTCCACCCTTTTCACTGAAACTAATCGTCTATCAGGCGATTTGCCTTCGAGTCGCTGTAAACTGCGATGAAATATAATTCTCGATCCTTTGTCATAACTCAATCCCTTCTCAATCGGGATATTTCGGGCACTATCATCGTAGTCTTCGTCGGTTTGGTCTTCCGAATCGATGGGCTTCTCCGGCAAACCACCGCCATCTTCCTGATTAACAATTTGGAATCCGGACAGACCCATACGGACACAATCGAAGGACCATTCTACAAGGGTGAAGTCTGACCAGTTCGCCTCGGCATCCACGCAAAGGTGAACGTTGCGGTTGAGGAAGTAGACGTTGGAAAACTCGACGCAGAGAGTGATGAAGCGAAAACGGGGCAGTCGGAAGCACATAGGCGGTGGGTTTTTACCTGGAAATTCATAAAACAATGTCAGACTAAAAGGAATAAAGCAATACTCAAATATTAAGTTATATCGGAATATATCGATAACAGCTCAGATATGTAGTCGAATATTTTAAATAAGTTTGAGTAAGTAGTTTTTAAAGAAAAGTTTAAATAAGTTGTAAAAATTTGGCTGGCATGATGCAAACTATAAATTAATCTTTCATATATCGAGGTGATATCATGTTCAAATGGGTTTGTTCTTTTCAGTCTTCTAACTAAGCCATCACTATCCAGGAACTGGTAGGCCTCGATGTTTATGTGCTAATGGAGCCTCTTTTCATGTCTTAAGGCATATTTCCTGATGACGTTATCGACATCATCCACTTCTAAGTCTTTGTAAGTACCTAACAGTACTTCGTAGTACCTCGTTTTGGAATCTTTGGATAACATTTCGGTTGCTTTGATTGGTACAATCCCCGTGGTTTAATACCAAAAATCCATATTATATATTATGCCAACATATTTAGCTGTATTTTCGTAAGGAACTACTTGTTGATTTATATATACTGGCTTGTACTCGATTCGTTATTAGTGAAATGGATATCCACAGATTTTTTTTTCATTCCATTGAAAAAAAAATGATATCATGTGGCATAAAATTTCACAATGATAGCATCATATTTTTGCTGGTATTTTAATTGTAGCTTTCAAAAAAACAAAAGTACAACTTTAACATCTCTTTAAAAAATTATCATACAACTTTTGCACAAAATCATCTGGGGAGATAATATTTGACCTTTTCAAAATTTACATGGGATTTCTTATGTCCCGTATTCCGATGCACCATACGGTATAGGCCTTTTACTTTTTTTGTCACTCAGTATAACTAAACAATTTTTTTCTTGTTTTCTCAAATTAAACTCTGAATAATTCTGGATATGGACAATGCTTGAACTAACGAAGCAGTTCGTCGGCGGTTGATTTATAGGCAAACAAGTGTGGAATTCCTGAAAGATTCCGAGAATAAACAGATAAATATTGATTTTATACATTTGAATACCGTGTGCCGGGAATACACACTGGAATAACCAAAACGCCAGAACGGGTATAATCCACCTCAAGTGCTGGATGAAACTCGACAGAAAAAGTATACACGCCGTTTTCTTTTCTTTATTGGAAACCGTTTACTGTTTGTTCGCCAGCCTATCCTAAAAAGTAAGTGTTAGCAGAAGGGGAAAGGTAAAATTCAAAGGAATTTTTCACATTCAATTCCCGAAAAGTTTTTTATAGTTTTACTTTATAGTTTTTTTTACGTTACAAAACCAAAGCATTTAAGCATTTGGAGGTCCATATATTCTGAATTTACATAATGCTTCTTAAAATCTGTAAAATTTTCAAAATTTTACTGCTATGTCTACTATTTTTCCCTTTGAAAACGCAATTTTTCTGAACCGAAAATAGTTGAAAAACAAGGGTCTAAAAAATTAATTTTCTCACGGAACTAAATTACCTAAGCATTCAAAGGTATATATTTTCTGAATATGCATAAAATTTTCTACAAATTCTGACATTTTCATAATTTTATGACTATGCTTATTATGTTTTTAAGACATTTGAAAATGTTTAAAAAATAGCTAAAAATGAACATTTTTTCGACATTTTTTTTCACGAAAATTGATGATTTTCGCCATGTTACCGATTTTGTTAAAATTTCTATTATTTACTGATTAAATGGTATAGAATAAAAAAAATATAGATCAACTTAGTCTTGGGAGAGCAGCAGTGAATGTTTGGGATGTTTTAACCATCATCAAAAATAGCAGAAAAACAAGGGTAAAAAAAATTGTTTTCTTGCAAAACGAAGGCAACAATCTAAGCCTTCCAATATCGTCTAAGTCTTATGAATCTACATAAAATTTCATATATATGCTGAAATTTTCAAAATATTTCTGCTACGTTAAAACTTTACCGAAAATGAGCAATTTTTTGACTTATATAATATACGGAAAAAAGAAAAATTTATTCCAAGCTGGGAGAATTGTCCTGTGTTTCGACAGGGGCTGTAATTTTTTTATTAAGTTTTAATCTTAAGCAAATACTTTAACTGGAGGAGATTTAAAAAATTAAAATTCTCAATTCGGCAGCGAAAGAATCACCTGGCGCGCCTTGCGGAATAGAAAAAGTTTTAAGTAAACAATCAGTCGGCTCGCCGTGAATGGAAATTTTGAATAGTACTTAGCTTAAAAATTGAACTTAAGATTTTTATTTGTTCAAGAATTGAGGGTTTCCCGACAATTTTATTCTTGAAATTACTTCGCGGGCTTTATATACGCCTTCTGTTATTTTTCAGGACGCGAGACAATATTATTCATAGTTTTCTTTTTTTCACTTTAATGGCTATGAATTCAATTTTGAAACAACGTCTATTCTTCTTCGACCAGGCACATTATTTAAATAATTAGAACATTTTTATTCTTCATTACAACATGCTTTGAGCGATATTTGGGTTATTGTTATTTTTTTTGTAAATCAGGTTCAGTCTTATTATTTTAGTCTCTCTTGTCGCACTGGCATAAAATGTGCTTCGTCGTTTCTTCTACAGATTTACAAAATCTGAACATGGTTTCACCGTGACGGTCAATCCCATCAGTTGTAGATGCCTATTCAGCTTACAATGTCCTAATAGTACACCCACTACAGCTTTGAATGCTCAAGAATTCTTATTTTAATGCCCAAGTTTTATAGCCATATTCATATCCATATCTCTTACAGATTATGTAATTTCAATTAAATTGATAATAATTATTATTTTTACATGTAACAGCGATTAAAGAGGAAAATGAATTAGGGGTGAAATCCTCTGCTTTAAAAATTTCAATTCTGATTAAACGGTTTTAATGTTGCCGATGGTAGAAAACTGATTTACCAACTTCCAAACAAAAAGAGAATAATTCGTGCGTACATTTAGGATGGCAAAAAGGTGTATTATGATCCGTCTGCATTTATGCCGCATGAAATTTTTCAGCAATTTGGATTATATAATCCAAGCATGTAATCAGAATTTATCGGCCGGGATGAAATTACAGCCCGACATTTAATTCCCTTGTTTGAGCCCGAACTTTAAACAAATGATTACAGCGGCACGTGTTAAATTTGAAAAATATCTAAACATCCATCGGCTAATTTCTTTTAAATGTTAATTTTCAAATTAGCAAACTCGATGAACATAATTCGACCGTTTTTTGTGATAACCGCGCAGCTTTGAGTGAAAAAAATATCAGGGATTAATTGGGGCTTGAAATTTAGGCATTGTTGAAAAAACCAACCAGAAAATCTTTACCCTTTCATTTTTCCTCTCTCGACTTTTAACTACAATAAGGGACGTCATAAAAAAATAAATTGAGCATCCGTCTTGACTTTTTCAGTCGTCAAAAAGATTTTATCTTGCAAGGAATAAATTCATTGGCTTTACTGGATTATTTTGTGAATTTCAGCAATGTAAGATTAGATAAAATAAAATCTGTAGATGACACTACTCGTACTTGATCTTCATATATAGGGCATATATTAATAGGAACTTTTTCTTTTATTTTTATCTATAGTATGACTCACTGAAGTCTGGGACATTATTTCTTTACACCTTGTACAACTAAAATGAGAATAATATAATATACATTTTTTTTCTGGCGTGTTTTATCAGCAATTATATAAATATTTTGTTTAAATATAATTATTGTTTGACAACAATTCCAAACGACTTTCTCTACAATAAATTCCATGAAATTAGCATTATAGAATCCTTTACCCTTCGCTGAGTATTTTATTTTTTCAATCCTGCCCTATTACGTTGTCCAAAAAGCCAATTAAACGAAGATATAGAGCTGCAGGAAACCTATTCTGACCTTAACAATCCAACTTGCCTACTATATCAACCCTGCGTCCATTTCGATATGTTGAGATTCACAGACGCAGATTCATGAGAGTTGATTTCAATGGTAATTTAATGCTCTTTCAGATTATAAGATCAAGCTGAAGCCCAACGGTTCGAGGGCTAAGGAGGGACGATTTAAAAAAAAGGTCTAATTCTTTCAGGCAATTTAATTTACCGGGGACCTTTGGATTGTGCCAGGGAATACTACTTGTTTTCACAAAACAAGCTAGTTAAATCTAAGTAAATCTATTTCTGAATATAAATAAACAAAATATTTAATTCGAGATAAACAAACTATTCCAAATAAGTTTTAATTTATTAGTATTGTAAAAAAATAAACAGAATGATATAATTTATCAATCTATACTAATATATAAAATCCTGTGAAAGTGACTGACATACTGATTAATCACGATCCTGCTCAAACCACTCATCGTAAGAAGCTCAATTTTGGCATACAGGTTGATTCTAGGGTGTAGAGGTTCGATAAGAAGGGATTTTTCGAAATTCCAGTTCCAAGAGGGTGAAACCACCCCTAAAATATTACAATATTTTTTATTTAAAAACCGGTGAGTTTTTCGGAAAAAACTCTTAAACACGTATATTTTATTTTGGTGTTTTACATATTTTAAGATTTTTTATAAATTTATACAGGGTGTTTCATAAAATATGACCATTGAGTAATCACGATTCTGCTTAAACTGCTTGACGTTTAAAGCTGATTTTTGGTAAACGGATTGACTGTGGGGTGTAGAGGTTCGATGAGGAGGGGTTTCTCGAATCTCTAATTCCAAACGCGTGAAAACGCCCCTAAAATATTACAATATTTGTTATTTAAAAAACGGTTAGTTTTTCGAGAAAACGCTTGGACAAGCATAATTTATTTTTTTGGTTTTTTTACAAATTTTGAATTTTTTTAAAAAATCATACAGGGTGTTCTAAAAAGTTGGGTAATTTCGTAATCACGATTCTGCTTAAACTGCTTGACGTAAAAAGCTTATTTTTGTCAAACGGATTTTTCGAAAGTCAAATTCCAAAGAGATGAATCTACCCCTCAAATATTAACAAGTTATATAGTAATATCGCCATATTG